GTAATATGCAGCACTGTTATTTGAATAAACTGAAATTAGTTTTATATAAACATGAAAGTTTCAAAAACAAAAAAAAAACACAAAAATGAGAAAAAACTTACGTAATACTAAATGTATTAAATTTAAAATATTCAATTTTATTTGAACAATCTTAAATAAAAGTGAATATCCCTTATTTGAATAAAATATTATAAATAGATAATTTACTGTTCATAGTAATTAATAAAATTTATAAAAAAAATTTTTATTTCTTCAAGTTGTTCTTTGGAAATAGCTGGTTCAAGGCATAATTGAGTTGCCTTAATGAACTTCGCCCATCTAATAAATATCTGTAAAGTAAAAAATATCATTCAAAAGATGATCTGTATTTAAAAAAAATTACAGTTTACTCTTTATCAAAACTAATAAGCAATCAATCCGTTTGATCGCTTTTGGTATAGTAATTAGACCTCCTAAAACTAATACAAAATTTATCTATCATATGTATCAGGTTTGATGGGATATACTGTATTACCTTTTTAAAAAATATTCTTGAAAAAGTGGAAGCAAATATAGGACCGTCCAATTATACTAATCTTCTGCTTTAAAAGCAGTATAATATTTATAAATGTCAATCAGAGGTCTTCCAAATTTTATAGGCATCATTTTGCGATTAAGTTCCATTATCTTTCCAATTTCATTCCAACTACTGATGGAAACATTATAATCAGAATTGTTAAGTTCTTCATTATTAAAAAATTTATCAACAAAGTGGCGAAATATATGTTGAGCAGTATTTTCAAAAAGCGCATGCATTATATCTATTAGAAATGATGCTGGAAAGCTAATAGAACTTAATTCAAATAAAATGCTATGCCTATTTACACCTGTTTCACATTCTATTTTACGTCGTTCAGCTCCACTTTTGTTTTCTATCAATTTAATGTCTTGACTGTAGCTGGTATGGGAATGCATCGATAAATTATTTGGATCATAAGTTGTGCTATTATGTCCTCTTGGTGATAAAAGTGGAAAATATATGTATCAAGCCGTTTTAGAATATATTTCACACAAATAGCAAAAACGATATTCACTATAGGCGTTATGACCAGAAACACATATGATTTTGGATAAAGCTAGAATATCTCCAGACCATGATAATAGATGGCCATATAATATAAATTTCTTTTGTTCTAAGATGTCATAACACGGTATACCTGCTATAAAATTTTTTTTATATTTATTTTATTCATTTTGTAAGTTCAAATATAAGATCATGCATAGTAATAACCCGGCTGAATCAATTTTTTGAAAACTTTCTAAAAGAAAATTCTTATTTAAAGAAAATAAATAATGTTTAAATTATACCTATAATTGCATTTGATATTTTTTGTGTGCTAATAATTTTGTTAGTGTATACTATACAGACTGACTAAAGTACCACCCTCAAGTATAATGTCCCTTACCAACTATTGAAAAGTTTTTCTAAAATATCCGGATATAGCCATTTATACTATATACCTGCTATATACATGAATATATATTTTATTAAACCAAGGTATCCTGGCTATGCTCTAGAGCAAAATATCTATCAAAAATGGTCTATTTGTAAAATATCTGGAGTACTTAAGACAATGCTATATGGAATATGATCATGATATTTTGGAGAAATTATTGGTAATGTTTTAATAATTTTATTAGTATTTAAAAACTGCCTTTTGATATTCTACATATTTTAATAAACGGGTGGAGTTTGAAAAATTTTTTATATAAAATTTTAAAAAAAAACCAACCGACCGGTCTGTTTAAAATTTTTATATTATAAAAAAATAAAGTATTAAATTTTTGTAATAAATACCTTCAAGACATTTTAGTTTCTCTATAAGTAGCCATAAAAAACTATTAAAATCTTTTGGTGGTTTTGGACCTAGAATAATCACAACTATCATTAAATTTTCTTTTTTAACTCTCAGAGATGGAGGTAAATTTGCATTTAGAAGTAAAATAACCCAACAATCATTTTGCTTTTTTTAAATAATTGATATCTATCTATAGACACAATTAGAGCAATATTGCAAGGATCCAAAAAAAGACCTGATTTAACTAAAGATTTATATCGATTGCTATCAAAAACGGCACCTATCTTACTATTTTCTGATGAATATTCCTCTCTGAAAGTATATTCATTTTAATAACGAAGGATTTTGGCACGTATTGAATCTTTATATTGCATCCGTAAGATGTCAATTACAGAGAAATAAGCAGCTGACTTTTGAGGTTTTTTTGATGATTGTCTAGATCAGTATCGTGATTCTTTACAATTAGGCACAATTCATAATTGATATTATTTTGGCCAAAAAATAAGCAACAAGAGTTCTAGCACATGTCTATAATCTTTAGTTCAAGCAGAATTAGTTTTTTAAATGTTTTTTGAAGCATATATAAAAATATTTCTGAAATTTCAAAAATATCTATATTTCATTAAATGCTTGATTTTATAAAGAATATTTGTTTTTGACATATAAAAGGTGAAGCCCCTGAATTAAATTATCTGATAGATCTTAAATTGAAAAAAAATTATCTATTAGTATTAAGTATATCTAATAGGTAAGTTTGAAGCAAAGTTTGAAACCGGATTAGGGCTTAAACAACTATATTGAAATGCCAAACATTCAAAAATATCATTCTTAATCTATAGTATTTTAAAAATTAATTGGCTAGTATAATAAATAATATATACAATACACTAATTTTTATAAATAAAAAAAAATCACTTTAAACAATAGCAATGGCATAGTAAATATTCGGTAAATTAATATAGTTATTTAATCCATAAACCAGATTTGATCTTAGGGTTTAAATCCAATTTATTTCTGATCTGACTTAAATTCAGATATAAACCGAATCTACTGAATCTGTAATACTCACATTATCTGTACAAATGAATATAGAACAAAAGTATTCGACCACCTATAGAAATTCTATAAAGATAAAATAGTTTTGTTCTTAAGTGATCAAATATTTTTGTTACTGAATTTATGCATGCATGTATATACAATGCTGCTATTAACCATTAAAATAATTGTTAAAATAAAATCATATTCAATTTAACAACTCATTTAAATTCGAAGCTGAATCACTACTAAGTAAAATAGGATTCAAAAACGAAATCAGGTTCCAAACTCTAGTTTGAAGTAAAAAATTAAAATTTTAAATTTATTAGCTTCACTTACCAATATCTACAGAAATTGACCCACCATCACTACTTCCATCTTGTTTACTATCACTACTTTCATCTAATTCACTATTATTATTCTCATCTGGTTCACTATCACTACTTTCATCTGGTTTACTATTTTCTTCTAATTCATCATTACTACTTTCTTTTAACTTGCTATTACTATTTTCTCCTAGTTCAGACTCTTAATCTTCTAATTCAGGTTCTGGTTCTTCTAATCTTAAATAATCAGAGACTGCAGAAACTAAAGAATCCTGTTCACCTATTTTTTATCAAGATAATCCAAGTCCAATTTATTTTTTATATCTTCATTACAATTATTAGATCCTAACTCATTCTTTAACAAATTAGAACCTGCAGTCGAAGAATTCATTAATGTAGAATGCAAAGAATTAAAAGTATAGTTGGTTATTTCTAGGTTGCCATAGGGTTGTATACTATCATTATTTAAATGTTGCATATTAATTAATGAAGTTATAGTCAGTATGCCTGAAAATCTTTTTCATGCCACCGATATCTTGTTTGAGTAGAAACGCTTACATATTACTAATATTATTGGATGTATTTCGACAAATACGCAAGCACATAAAACTTGTCTTCCCATTACTATTTAAATTATTGTAAAAGTAATAAAGTTAATAATGTAGTGTTATATATACTGATATGTGACACAATCACTTCTTTAATCACCAAGTATAAATAACATTAAATTAAAAAAACAATAAATAAATAAATAAATTTTTTTCTTATCAAATAACCCTTTAAACTAGTTGCACCTCTTTATTGTAAAAGGTTTTCAGTTTTAACAATACAAATAATGATCGTTCTAACAATAAAGTAAATAACAATATGAACACGGATGCAAACCAAAATACTGTATTACTTCTTCAATTATTATCAAATCCGACTCTTTTACAACTGACGCTTTCAGCCATTACCCCAAACTTCCAACCTACTACTGCACCTCCTTCTGAACAAACGCAAACCCTTCCAGTACTATCAAGCGCTATTGTGGGTGTCATCAATCCATCAGTAAATATTTTATTAGTTATACTTTCAAATTTTATTAAAATTTTAAGTGAGTTTAATTATTTTAGTTTCTACGTGGATCAGCACAAAATCCTATTACTAAAAAAAATAGAAACAATGGAAGAAGGATAAAAAAGCAAGATTGGAAAGATTTTTTATGTTTGCATCATGATACTTACTGGACTTATTGGATAATTACTTATTATTATATATGTACCCTTTTTTATTATTAATAATGTATCGATAATAATTATTATTTAACAAATTATGATGTGCAGAGGAACCTGCGTGACAGGTTAGCAGCAAGTTGCCAGAAAGGCAAATATGCATCAGAGCAATCACCAAGCAAAATTCAGAAAATTATTAATGAAGTACATGCATATTTCTGTAAAATACGTAATTGTTATTTTATTAATATTGTAATAATATATGTATAGTTTAAACAAGATTTTCCAACTTTTCCTGTTTCTGTTAGGAATTTTGTTTTGCAGAAAATTGCTGAAAATATTATTGGAAATTGGGATAAAATTTTATATTTTTATTTTTAATATAATAATATGTATTAACAGAATAATTTGTAGTGGAGACTGAGTGCAAGAATAAAATAAAGGATGCTCATGCTAAGGGTATCGCTCCTCCTCCTAAACGCAAGAATATTATTCCATCTACTTCAAGATTTAAAAAAAAAGCTCCAAGCCGATCATCAATGACAAGTTCTGATACAGCTGAAATTGACATGAAATTGATATTTGATCAACCACCTCTAATGAAAATGATCCTCCTTCAAGACTCAATAGTATTACCTCCTCTACTAACGTCGATTCATCTGAGTTATCTACTATTGCTCCTCATACAAGATCTTTAAAGCCTTCAAAACTCCAACCCAACCATCAATAGCAAACTCCAATGTGACTGAATTCAATAGTTCTGATGCCAGTAGTGATAATGATGCACCCTGCATAATGAGATCTTCCAAGTTTCCAACCCAACTAACAGTAACAAGTCCTAATGCAATTGAAGTCGAAAGTTCTGAAACTAACAATGATATCAATGCACTTGAATTGTCTGCTGAAATTAACAATGATATTAATGCATCTGAATTGTCTACTATTACCCCCCGCGCAATAAAATCTTCAAAGTCTTCAAAGATTCAAACCCGATTGTCAACAAGTTCCAATGCAATTGAAATCGATAGGTCTGAAGCTAATAATAATAACAACACGCTTGAACTATCTACTATTACCACCCGCACTATTAGATCCTCAAGAGCTTCAAGAGTTACAACCCGATCATCAGCAAGTTCTGACAAAATTGAAGTTGACAAACATATTAGTACTCAATCATCTGATCTACCATTATCTCAGTAAAACAGAATGGAAATAATACTAGTATTTATTCAGTTTTCTACATTATTCTCATCTTGTCCATAATATTACTCTTTTTTTTATGTATTCAATTTATAATAATTCATTTAATATATAGAAAAAAGAAAAACAACTTCTAGCACAAATACTAAAAAGGTTTCCAAGAGGGCAAAAAATCATAGATAGGTAAAACACGATATTATACCTTGCAAATTGCTTTACTCTACAATATGCATAATTTCGGTACGTACGTATTACAAAAAATAGAAGTTATATGCAAGATTACATAATCTAATTGTTTTTATTTATATGTATTAGATAATTCGATTGTCTTTCTGATATCGACTATTGGTTATAATTTTATTTAAGTTGAAAGATCGATTGTTTATAAAATAATTGTATGCTCTAATTATGAATTATTATTGAGTGAATTGATTATTGACATAAATTATTTGAACCCTGCTACGATTTTTAGAGGTACATATTCGGGATCTTTTTGGAATATTACTGTTAATAATTGTTCCGGAAAATGCTCATTTTCTGGAACAAAACATGGTTATTACCTGGTGAGTTTTTAAAAAACCTGAAAATTTTCTGAACATGAACCTGAAAAAAATCGGGTGGTTATCTAGAAATTTCTGGAATAAGAAATTCAGAATATTTTCGGGACATGTTGGCTGTAACATTTTTCATAGGGTCAGCGCCTTTAAATATCTAATAAATTAGTTAAATAATGGTAATTTTTATGCCTTTATTATTACTAAAATATTGATAATATATTGCTAATATTAGCTTTTTATTTGCATAATAATTGACAAATATACTTTGCTAAAATCTCACATTTTTGCGAAAGGGACAAAATATCCTATATTTAGTGTAAATTATTAATAATATAGG